CATCGGTGTCGGAGCGGGCTTACCGTTGGGGAATTCGATGCCAAGGTCGCTCAGGAAAGCGGGATAAAGAAGAATAAGCGCCTGCAACGGCACACGAAGGGCGCCTTCGTCTTCTCGTGCCCTCATTGTGTCATCTATGGCTTCCACGTCATGCTCCGCGGGGAGTCGCCGCGAGACCCCTTCACCGTCCTGTACACGCGGCTCAATCGGAGAGATCTTCCTCTGTACCTCATCCACGACAACGCCTGCAAGATGCGCACCTACGCGATGCGGAGAGAGCCAGCGTTCTTTGCAGACGTTCGGTTCCTGGTCGATAGGTAAGGTTGGAAGATTTGCGCAAGCCAAGGGGCGGCTCTTGTTGAGAGCAATTCTTGTGATCCTCCGTGCCATTGCCATACAGCATTGCGACTTTCCTCAGCTGTGCACTGCTGTACATTTTTTGTTCTTAATTCGTGTTTGATCCTTGCAGATTCCACTTCCACCACACAACCGCCGAGGCACACAAGTGTGGTCCATCATACAACACAGGTGAGACCCTGATGCATTTGCAAGGCACCGCTGTGTAGAATGGGCTCGAAGGGGCCGCCCGTCTATCCAAGTGTGTCTGTCTATGTGGTGTTCCTATATAATGCCATGTTTCGAGTGTTTTCCAGCAGTGAACTAATCGAATCTCTCGTTCCAATCACTTGCAGACTACTACGACTCTGTGCGTTGGGTCAACACGTCGGCAGCGGAGTCGTGCAACGCGTTTCTCGTGAACTTCAAGACGCAAGCGTGGTATAGGAGCCTCGTTGCATTCATGATCATCCTTCCTAACCTAGTCAGCGGAAGAAATAGCGACTTGCTACGGGTTGACGAACCAAAGCTGCGCATTGCGAGCAGAGCAGACACGTGGAGACCGGCTGTACGGCAACGGCTCTTGATGTACTAAGACCTCTGTTGAAACAAAGACATTGATCAAGAAGTTACTAGGACTTGTACTTTTCATCATATGCTGCATGCATTCCACCAACATTGATGTGCATATATGTGGTCGTTGTCATTAGATGAAGATATGCCCCTTCGGTGCAAACAAAAAGATGCTTTGTGCCAGTGGCATAATCATGTCTGGATGGGGGGCGCAGACCAGAAGCCCAGAAGACCCGGATTCCACATCTATTCTATTATAGCAATCGAGGCCCCTGGAGATTTT